TTTGACCTTCATCCTGGGGGGGGGCTTTCCAGACTGATTCCCTTTTTTTTCCCCCCCCCCCGAAATTACTTCACTTTGCAGCTGGCCTGGCCCGCAAGGTGCCTGCGAGCTGCCTGGCTGGACTCTCCAGCCAGCGCTGCCTACACGGGTTTCCCTTCCCTGCCTGCTGACTCTTTCTTTCTCCCCTTGGCTCCCTCCTCGCAGACCTGCCCCTTGGCCGCTGGCCCTGGCTGCCTTCTTGGTGAGGATTCAGGAGCCCTTCTGCCTTGGCCGAGAGGGACATCTAGTGGGGTCGGAGCTTGGGGACCTGGTGCTTGTTTTATTAAAAAAAAAAATAAAAAAATTTCTATGTATTTATTTTTTTCATCCCTAGGAAGGGCTGGTTTGTGTAGGAGCTGAGTACTGGTGGCCTCGGAGCTCTGGTGGGACAGTTCACGGGCTGTTTCTGTCTCCACCCGGTGCTGTGGGGGGCTTGGGGCTCTCTGTTCCCCCAACATGCTCTGGAGGTGCCTCTCTTCCACAGAGGAGGTGTCTCCTGGCCTGATCTGGCGCGATGGGCCCTGGGGACACTAGCTGGGTGCCGAAGGAAAGAGCTGGCCTTCACAGAGGGAGCAGCGAGGAACAAAGTGCCTACAAAATGGCTCTGCAGCAGCAAGAGAAACCCGCTGCTTTCAGATGGATCCTGGTCTCCAAGAGCCCCTTCTGTGTCTCCCAGCTTCCCCCACACAGGGCTGAGCTTTAAAATGGTGTTTTGTCCCTTGGTGAAACCCTGCTCTTGGCACTCCTCCTCCTCCTCTTCTTGCCCCGGTGGTGAGCCAGCCGTAGCAGCAGGGAGGAACGTGTGTGAAGTCACATCTCGGCTCACCTCCCTCGTTGGGTGCTGGGGCTGACTGTGGGTGTTCTCTGCTCTTGGCCTAGGGTCTGCGTGCCTGCCCTCGGAGGGAAGCGGAACAGCGTGGTGGCCTGCTCCTGCCCCAGCTCCCACCAGCAGGGATGACTCCTACATCTCTCCAGGTAAGAGGCTGCTTCCAGAACTGCTCTGTTTCACTCCTGGATCCCCCAAACCACTCGATCCCAGCTTTTTTCCCCAGGCTGCCCAGAACAGCAGCGTGGAGCTTTCAGAGCCCAGCGCCGGGGATCGGTTCCGCATGTTTCCCCGGTCAGGAACATCGCCCAGAAGCTCAGGAAGAACCACAGAGCCAGAGTATTAGAAAATATCTGTTTATTAGAGGGTCTGGGCTTCACAGGGAGTTTTACAAAACAATGTATTTACAGGCAGGGAGGGGGCTATCTCAGCTCGATTGGAGTGTGCGCTCCATGGGCAAGGAGACGTCTATGCAGGAAAAAGAAATCTAAGGGGCATTCAGAAGTCTTTCTGTTACATTTATTTTCTTTACAAAAGTAAGAATGGTCTAAGAGTGGTGTCTGGCACTGCTAACCCCTGTTCTCGTTGCAGGAGCTGAACTCCAGGACTCTTCAGCACCCAGAAGCCGTGTCAAGACCCGCTGCCGTGCTGCCAGCAGTTTTTGTCTTTTTTTTTTTTTTTTTTTTTAATTTAATTTTTTTTTTTATTTTTTAAGTTTATTGTTTCTATATACCTGGAATGCCTGCTCATTCAACTCAGTCGTGGGCGCTGCGCTGGGGGGGAAATGTCTAAGTTGAGCTGTGGAATACAAAGGACTAAACCAAACCCTCGGCTCCACGTGGAGTCCCAGATGCTTGCGGCGAGGTAGAGGGAGGGCTCAAGTTCACAGTAGAGGCTGGAGCAAAGCACAAAGCCCACCAGCTCCAGCCAGTGTCACACAAGAGGAGCCTGCACCCAGGCAGGGCTGCGCGCGTCCCTAAAGGCCCGTCTGCTCTCTGATCCAGTCCCGCAAGCTGGTGACACGGGTGTAGACTCCGGGCTTGTTCCTCTGCGCGCAGCCGTCGCCCCAGCTCACCACGCCGGCCAGGAACATCCGACTGCTGCCCTCCACGCTGACCAGCGGCCCCCCGGAGTCTCCCTGCGTGGGCACACACACAGTAAGGGCTGCGCGCGTCCCTAAAGGCCCGTCTGCTCTCTGATCCAGTCCCGCAAGCTGGTGACACGGGTGTAGACTCCGGGCTTGTTCCTCTGCGCGCAGCCGTCGCCCCAGCTCACCACGCCGGCCAGGAACATCCGACTGCTGCCCTCCACGCTGACCAGCGGCCCCCCGGAGTCTCCCTGCGTGGGCACACACACAGTACCATAAGCACCAACCCCACACAAAGCAATAAACAGAGTAAATCACACAAAAAAACCCCTCCACAACCACTAACTCCAGTGAAAGGCTGGAAAAAAAAATATCTAAGTCAGCTGTCTGTACCATTTCATGCCTGCTTCCCTGCATCAAGGAAAAAAAATTATTCATATGGCCAAAATGAGTATTAAATCATAGCAAGAGGAATCACAACACAGCTAAACAAGCACCCTGTCTGGCTAAGTGAGGCCCACAGCGTTCTCCTGCCTGGTTTGGAGACTAAGTCGTGCGTTGGTGGGCTGCAGTTTTTCAGACTAAGTCATGCGTCGACCCAGTTCGCTGCTGGTGCTCCGTCCATCGTCCCGGTCGAGGAGGATCCGCGGCGATTCGTCGCACGGTCGGCGTGGAAATGCCGGAATAAAAAGGGCCTTGAGCTGACGCTGCCTACCTGAGGCTAAGCCCGAGCGCCGGCTTACCTGGCAGGCGTCCACGCCGCCGGTCAGGACCCCGACGCACATCATGCGCGGCGTGAGCTGGTCCGTCAGCAGCTGGTTGCACACCGTCTGGTTGATGAGCCGGATTTCTGCCTTCTGCAAGATGGAGGCTCCGCTGCCTGCGAGGAACGAGGGGCAGCGTGAGGCGTTGGGAAAGCGGCGTTTCCCTCCCCGCTGCAACAAAGCTGCTTTTTCTGGCAGGACCGAGACATCCACGTCGCACGCTCCCACAAAAAAAATTGTTCAATTCCATTTAAACCCCAAAAACAAGGCAATGCCAGCGCTCACCTCCCTCCGTGGTCGCTCCCCATCCGGTCACCCACAGGTCCTTGCCCACGGGGAAGTTGTGGGTGGCATCGGGCAGGCAGACGGGCTGGACGACGGAGGAGAAGGTGACGGGGCTCTGCAGCTCCATCACGGCGATGTCGTAGTCGTAGGTGTAGTCGTTGAAGTACGGGTGGGAGATGATGCGCTTGATCTTCCGCGTCTGCACGTTGGCACCGTCGCGGTTGCCTTGGTCGGTCAGGCCCAGGTAGGCCGTCCACAGGCTGGCGGCCGAGGAACTGCGGGCCGCAG